ATGAATGGGTTAGAAAATAATTAAAATTGCTCAACTAATAAAATCTATTACAAGATATTAACAAGGAAAGTAAAAAATATGAATAGAGGATATAAAAAAGTAACCAGGACCAGACACTTAATCAGAGATGGTCCATCAAGCAAAATGGGAAAGAGATACAAAGCTGAGGAAAGGATACTATGTAAACCACTTCTTCAAAATAATTACGTGATTTTTTTGGTGGGTTTTTTTTTATTTGTTTGTTTTAATTATCAGTAATGTGGTTGTAGTCTCTTCAGGCATTTTACATAGATCATCCCAAAGAACTTGCAGTGTATGTTCATATGTATGTATATATGTCTGCACATATACAGAAATGCTAGAGACTGGAACAAGAAGATGGTGAGGTAAGGATACTGTAAGATAGGTTACTCTCTTGCCTCTCATCTTCCATAAGTGTGGAAAACTGCTCATGCTCATGAACGAAAACAGAGATTGGCCAGACCAACCAACATTGAAAAGGAACTCATTTAAAAAACAGAAAAGAAATTGATTAATTGCATTTTTTTTAACTATTTATTGTTTCTTTTTTAAGGAATTTTAATCATGGTGGTTTAGCAGCACAATATTTGGGGAAAGAAAATCGAAATGGGAATCCTGCAGAAACAAAGCTCCAGGTTTGTGTGCACAATTATTCCTAATAATTATTTTTGCATTTATCCAAGAACAGACATAATCAGCAAGCAATTCTGAGCCACAATGAGCCAGTCTGGCTTACATGTTCAGCATCAAGAATCTCACTATAGAGAATGGTTTGTTCTTAACTCTTAGGAAAACAAGCAAATTTTGACAATGCATACAAAAAGACACAACATCCACAGAAACAGATACATGTTAACTGAAATATAAACAAGGAAAACATGGGATAAATGCATCATACACTTATGTCCACTATAAACTGTTTTTGGATTTCCAATAATGTTCACATCACATGGACTTAAGTGAAATATTATTACAACAGTCATGAAAAATTAGGGGTGTTCATTATTTTTAATGTCTATTCCTCACAGGAGGAATTTGTATCTTTTCAAGAACATGAATTTTACTGCTAACATTTCTCTTAGCACAATACATTCAATCCCTGTCCTCAACAAATATGTATTATATTTTTATTTCCAGGGTTTATTTGTCTGTCAAGATCAGTCATTGAGTTACAGAACAAAATGGAAAGAAGTTCGCAAGAAGTACCTACCTTGAAACACAGAACATAACCACGATGCAGCAAAACTTCCTGATTATTCTGTCATGATTGAGTGGAGTCCAACTTCTGACCTATTTTAATTTTTGCAGTAACCGATATCAAACAAATTTTTTTGTCCAAGCAAAGTAAATGGTTTCATGAAACTAGGTTATGCAGCTGTATGAGGATCCGCAAGAGCTTGCAGCATCTGCAGCACAGCTGGAAGCACGAAGGGAAAACGTCCTCTCCTGTTTAAAAGTTGCTAGATAAATGAGGAGAGTACGTACCCACATCTACTCACTATACACCAACTGCAGGTATTTTAGTGATACTGCAGTCGGTGATTTTCCCCCTCCACGTTTTTTTCAGTCTCCTGAGAACTCTTCCATCTTGTGAAGCAGATTCCACTTCTGTCTTCTGCCATCCATGTAACAAGTACAAAGTTTTAAGACGCCAAAACAGTTAGCCCAACTTTTCTATAGCTGACAGTAAAATTCATTACTGTCACTCTTTCCTCTGTCCATCACCAAATACTATTGCATTTTCCTTCTCTGTTCTTCTGTGGAAGAAGACTGAAGACCCCAAAGATCCAAATCATCCTATCAAGATGCTTCTGCATTAATTTAACAATCATATTCAAGGCTCAAATGAGTCAAGATAATTCCCTTTGGAAGGAACGAATTGAGGAAAGGGAAGAATACTGAGAAAGTAACTTATAAAAGACAACATTGAAAACACATGGAATAAAATCCCATAGTCCTGACAAGACTACCCCGAAGCGTAAAAGAATTAGTAAGAGATATGGAAAAAGGGCTAGACTTTTATTTTTGAAGACCGTCTACACTGTAAAAAACTTTAAAAAAAAAAGAAAAATTACTTCATCTGAGCATCATTAATTGGTCTTGCACTGTTTAGGATGTTCCAGGTGAGACAGAGAGGCTTGCTGTTATTTGTGGAAGATGACTGAACTTGTAGTTATGATTGAGAGGACTGCACTGTCCATCTTCCTCCATTGCAATGCTAACTTTCATTACCAACCTCATGGAAATATTTCTAACAGCACTTCTTCTACCCTTCCACTGCCTTCCTGCCCTCCGCCTACCGCATTTTTACTACCCCCACCTGTCCAAATTATGCCATCAGCGACTACAATATTTTTTATACAAATAAAACAGAGATATTTGTAGCACATGGATTTAACATATGTTTGCTTGCTATAATTGTTTGTAAACAGATTCATTATATCAGGATCACTGAATTTCACAGTTTCTCGGTAGACTCCCTTTTGTAAGCATTTGCAGCTTGAAATATGGCTTTAAGATAGCTGAAAGGGGAACAATATTGTGAGGGGGATTTCTTCCTGTTTGTTGCATTCTTTCCGTCATTTAACACTGCTGCCATTTTCAGAACAAATGTATAAAAAAAATCACACAACTTGTGCAGTATAAAATTCAAAAGCACCTTTGAACGTACCATTGTACCCTAATGTTTCTTTTCATAAACTGTGTAAGGGCAGAATCTTCTCAGAAATACAATTCTTATAGAAACACCAAACATAAAGAACGTGTACAGGATAAGGTTAACAACAATTCTGTCAAAGACAAGATCCTAGTACGACCCTCAACAATAACAGAACCAAGCCGCATTTAAGTAAGAATGGCTGAAATGACAGTGCAATCCAACACCTGCCATGAATCTAGCCCAATCATTTATGAATAAAATCGAATTTAAAACTGCAGTTATGGTCCTTCTCCAAAAGAAAGAATTTCTATGGACAATCTAACCTACTGGTGACAACGTTCAATTTTCTGGATACTGAAACGTTACTTCTTTTTCTATGGTTTGAAATAATCTATATAATGTTACTTTGCACGTCATTCATGTTGCTTTTGATATCCTTCTGAAAAGACATTTGAAGCAGCATTTATGTTTCAAAAGAAGAATGAAAATAGTGGAGTCAAAAGTTTTTTCACTGCTGGAGAGTGACCACAGTGCTTTGCATCCTACTGACATAGTGGTTTACAACAAACCTGAATGTATGCAACTGAGTGAGAGAAAATTAAGATATGGGAACACACATATGGAGACTTAAGCACTGTAATCAGGATTTTAGCTGAATGCCTCTCCTGGAGGTTTCAGACAGGTTGAACCACAGTTGGAAGAAATATTAATGTCTTTTGTGTGATATCAGCCTAGATGATTGTTGGATTCCAATAACAAAAGACCATTGCACAAGCAAAGAATTGTGCCTTAATTTTAAGATGGTTAGGTTGTAAAAGAACAACAAGTTTTGAGATTTAACAATAAATACTTCAGAAAATGAATCGGTTACAGAACCAGCTAATCTTCACCCTTGTTATACTTAACTATATATTATCTGCTTTTTATATAGATAATAAATAGGAACACTGAATGGTTGGTCAAACAGTTGCACTCATGTGAGAAAATATTTTATGCATACTTGATACGAATTATTATTCCTTCTTGATGCCCAGCAATTTTTCAGGAACAATACATTGTTTTCTGAAGAACTGCATTCCTTCTCAGAAGTGCAGAAGCAACAACATCATCATTACAGAATTTTTTTTGTTACCTCAGTGGTCTGGAGAGACAATTGGAAGGGTTCTAAGCAAGCACCTGCAAACCTCACTAGAATCCCAGAGTTTCTGAAATTTAGAAGAGCCGATTCAACACCCCTGCTAGAACTCCTGCTCCTTTCAAGCTGTGCTAATGCAGTATTGTGATCCAGTGCTCTCACTATGGTAAACATCTTCAGAAGGTCCCTGCAAATCCGAACATACAGGATCACGCTTGCATTTGTGCTAAACCTTGTAAATATGTTTTTAACTGGAGAAGTCCTAAATCCTTAATCCATATATTCCCATACCACTGGTCCAGTTCATTTAGGAGTATGGATCTAGATATGCAGCAAATAACTTGTCTATATAACAGTACAGAGAAGCTTTAAGTTGCAATGTAAATCAAAAATCAATTTATCTTCACACCAAAAAACATCTCCTTTCAAAGAAAGTATCTGCTTTTGGATAAGCACAATCATTCTTTGGATTCAACTCACTGATTCTAACAGGACCTTAGTCACCACAATGCTAATAGACACTGATATTTAGACAACTATACCAGGAATCTTGATCTTAAATTTAAAACCACCTAACGGGAAGTGCATCCTCAGATCTGAGCAAATAATCGAATTGAGAGAATCCTACTAGCCAGTAGAAAGTGATAATATGCTGTTTAATTTTCAGAATTTAAGATAATCACAGACTTCCCTCTCATTTTTATGCTGTCTTCAAACTCTTCCAGTGTTAACAAGGATGATCCCAACTTACAATTAACAATGTAGGAGCAAAATATTTCTTCTTTGAAAACAGAAACATTATGTAAAATGTAACATATTTGCCTTATGTGCGTGGAAAATAAGCTTTCTGGAAGAAAATGTTCATGGTGGACTAAAGAATCTCCACAGAGATTGTTTTCCAGTGGTAAACTGTATTAATTTCCAGTTTGTTATAACGAAGGTCAACTTCCAATTTTAAAAGTGTCGTAACATGCTCACAGACTGTTATTACATAGACATTGACATACAAATATTGATGTGATGATGAAGAATTCAGAAGCCTTTGGTGTATTAAAGTGTACTCAGATACTTAGTCATGGAGAACATCAATCTGATGCAATTATTAAACATACAAATTATCTACAAACTTGTTATACTTATTTTACTGAGGAAATGGCTCCAGGATTTAAATTATTCATTACTTACCCCTGTCCTTTGAACTTCCAAGAAAATTGCTCTTTGAAATGATTTCTCCCACACTGCCAACTCGTTGCCCAGCTCTACATTGAAATAATGACTCTTGCCATGTCCAACCATAACACTGAAACAATATGGCCTCTGGTCTTCAAGATCAAAGTCCTGATGAATACCTAAATACAAGTTTGCTTGTAGCCAGCAATCATCAGCAAGCCAGAGCTGAAAGACATGTTTCAGTATGTGATTCTTCATCTAGCAAAAACAAACAGTTAAAGCAACATTGTCTTCTGTAAGTGGTGGGTACTCAGACATGTTATGTCATTATTTTAATAATTACCTTGAACAAATGTTCTGAGAATTAAGTAATAATTTCAAAGGCAATTTCTCTCCTTTCTTCATATTCATTTCATCCTGCATCATGTAATCTGACCTACTTCTGCAGTTCCAAAATACTGTCAAAGTTACCTAAGCAATACATACGTAATTTAAAAGGAGTTCATAGCAATATATTGTTTACAGTGAAAAGGAACAAAATCCCTGAATTGTCTGAATACAATTCAAGAGCTGTGTACCAGCTTTACAGGAGAACATAACTATTCTGTTCTAAATGGGTTCCAATACGCTAAACACCAAGGAATGCAGTAACTTATGAAGTACCCAAGGGCTAATTCTGGAAATGACAACGTGAGCTTTCATATGTCCCCTGACAGCTGCCAATGCTGCTCTGCAACTACAGCGGGAGTGAAGTGAGATCCTGCCATCACCTTCAAGATGAATTGAAGCTTCACATTAGTCTTTCATAATAAAAAAAATCCCTGTAACAGAATGTTTTGTAAATGAAATAAATTCTTACAGGAAACTTCCCTAATCTTTCATGATTTTGTTGATTAGCATACATATAGAGAAAAATAAAATAAGCTACTGCTTATAGATCTGAGTATTTTCACTTACTGAATTTCCAAGTTAGGCATTTTTTTTTAATTTCTATTTATCAGATAGGGCCCTTTCTTATCTCCATTCTTCTCTGATGGCATGTGGTAGAAAAGATTGAAAGAACAAAAAAAGTAATTTTCAAAGAGAATGTTATTTCTTATTTTCTAAAGTCATCTTCAAACAGAATTTTATTTCTCTAGGAGAAAGGAAGAATAGGAATAGGAAGAATTTTCTTTCTTTCTTTAACTCTAGGTTAGGTTTAAGAGACTTGACTCTAGTCAAGCAGATCTGAGATAAAAGCAGTCATGTTTGAGTGGACTTAGGTGGCTGTGCAAAGACCAGAATGCAGCTTTGCAGTGGTACCCAAGTCCTAGAATCTTGTAGTCAGGATAAGCTTTATAAAGATTTAGAAACTATTTTTCCAGAATCTCTAATAGTCCATCATAGCCTACTGAGGTTATAGTTAAAACTCCATGCACATGAAAACAAACAAATAACTAGAATTTGAGCATCCAAATGCAATGTAAGGTATTTCGATACATGTAAAATAAATGCTTAAATGCTCACGGTCTTGTGTCCATCCTGTTCTAGAGGCACAAACAACCGCCCTTGAAGGACAGAAGTGAAAATCCACTTCATAGAAATGAAAACCAGAGGAAACAAATGCTCTGCTAGCACACCCTCCTCTGTGTACTGCTCTCATAATCACAAACAGGATTCATATGCACGTTCGTGTATGCAAGTCTGTATTTATATGTATGTATGTAGGAAGTAGTCATGCCCCTGTACTTGGCACTGGTGAGGCTGCACCTGAAATACTGTGTTCAGTTTTGGGCCCCTTGGGCCTCTCACTACAAGAAGGACATTGAGGTGCTGGAGCATGTCCAGAGAAGGCCAAAGAGGCTGGTGAGAGGTCCGGAGAACAAGTTTTATGAGGAGTGGCTGAGGAAACTGGGGTTGTTTAGTCTGGAGAAGAGGAGGCTAAGGGAGGTGCTGGTCTCTTCTCCCAAGTAGCTAGTGATAGGATGAAAGGCAATGGCCTCAAGTTGTGCCAGGGGAGGTCTAGATTGGATATTCGGAAAAATTTCTTTACTGAAAGATTGGTCAGGCATTGGACCAGGATGCCCAGGGAAGTGGTGGAGTCACCATCCTTGGAGGTCTTAAAAAAAATGTGTAGATGTGGCACTTCAGGACATGGTTTAGCAGGTGTGGTGGTGTTGGGGGGACGTTTGGACTTGATGATCTTAGAGGTCTTTTCCAGCCTTCATGATTCTATGATTCTATGCACATCTAAAATACAGCAACATTTTGTTTTAAAATGCCATTTCCATATTAGATTCTTATTTCCCATGTCATAATAAACATAGATGAGAAGCTTACAATTAGGTAACAAGTGTACCTTGACTTAAAATCCATCTTTCATGAGAAGATGCAACAGCACTCTCCACCACAGCTTTGTACTAGTTCTAACCAGCTTCTGAAAATCCTTACACACAAACTCCATCTTTCTAATCTGCAATGTAGAAACTTTAATCTCTTAACAGTTTTTTCTATTTTTGGGATTTGCTTACTTCGCCTCATTGTTATTTATACCAAAGAATCACAGAAAAGAGGTTAAAGTGTTGAACTTCAGCTTTTGCACTTTAGCTAATGTATTCATGAAAACTGGCAATTAAGCATTCATTTATTAAAATGTCAAGAACATTAAAGAGTTGAATCTTGGGTAGTTTATTTCCCACTTATTTATCTTCATGAAAATGTATCACCACAGAATTTGCTTTAAGGATAGACCGTCCTTGAAATTACCAGAATATTCAAGGAAGGACCGAGTTTCAAATCAGTAGTAACATTTCAAGGAAAAAAAAACAAAACCCAAACCATAGCAAAAACTTTTCAAAAGGCATAACGAGTATATATTTCATTGCTGCCTGACATTTACCAGGAAAAAGGACATTTTAAAAAAGCTTAAGGAGACAGAGCAAATAAGCTGGGACAGAGCCTCTGCTCTCTGCTGCTGTCTCAGTGATGGGCAGGACTTGAAGTTGCCCACGCGTACCCAGTTGGAGGCATGGTCACACTGAAATAATGCTATGCTCATGGGAATATGGCTGTGCTCCTGCAGCCTCTGCTCTGCAGCTGAGTTGAAGTCCTGGACTCCAGGATTGCTATTTTCCTGGCATGGCACTGCCCAAGACCGTTCCCTCTCCCCACTTTTCCCAGAGAAGGGAACCTTCCTCCCCTGCCCAGGGACAGCAGCCTTACAACAGAGAAAAAACAGGCAGTGATGGGCTGCAAAACTAATAGCTGACATGAGCAGAAGCTCTTTTAGCAGCCACTTAATGGGACTGACACCTCTGTAAAATGCAGACGTTCATTCATGTTTGAGAGCTATTTGTTCTAGATTTCTGTCAAGTTCTGCATGCTCCTTGCTCTGTTGGTTGTAACCATCACGTTTTCAGTTTATCTTTTTTTTTTTTTTTAAATCACAGTCAACAAAACTGGTGTAGGAAACATGCCCATGTTGTTGAAAGTCAGCTTGGAACAAGTAGTTTGAGCAGTCAGGACATGGAAACTCCCTGTCACCCCGTTCTTTGAAGAATTTGGTCATTTAGGGCAACAGAGAACTCACCTCTATGCTGAAAAGGGCAGAAAAGGGTAATGGAGTGTTAATGCCCAGTCCATGTTTTGGTGGGTTTTTTTTGTTTGTTTGTTTTGTTTTGTTTTGTTTTTTACACTTTTCCTTCTGTAAATTGTCTTGAATAACTGTGTTGCATCAGACAAAAACATCCATAAGTAGCACTCCCTTAAGCAACGAAAATCAAGCAGTTCTGCTTCAGTGCAATGTTAAGTCAGGATCTGTACAGGTAACGAAACAACAACCTTCCTTCTCCACAACCATGTACATGGTCACAGGAGGAACAGCAGAGAGAAGGAGAGCAGCTGCTGAGAACTAAAGGTGATTTGAAATTTTCCAGTGAAACAGCACTTTATCTGAAAAGACTGATCTTGTGGTTTTTCTTTTTCCTGATAATATGTTTGGTTTTATTCTTTTAGGAAAGTAGGCTCTCTTCTAGCCTTACCTCACCTGCAAATTAGTTTTTTATTAGCTGTTAGACAACTAAATTAATCCATCTGATGCAACATATAAGAAAATATCTTTTGTAAGTCAATTCTTTAAACAGACTGCTAAGGTTTTGCCCAAAATCCTTGCTTGGGACAAGCTAAACAGAAAACATGACAGTGTCTCTAGGTGGTGGAAAGAAAGAAGAAATCTGTGGTACACAAAAGAATGATATAATTTTATACTTCTAATTACTGAAATTACAAAAAGTATCTTTATGTAGACCAGGAATTACAACAAAAGCATTCTTCATCACATTCCCTTAAAAATATGAGCCAGTAAGAATAAGGCAACATCCAGCTTCACTACACTTAGCTGTGGGTCTTGCCTGTACTTCATATGACCAGCTCTAATACGGAAACATTTCTTCAACATGGAAACATTTGAGTAACTTGCTCACTTGGAGCTTAATTAATTTTCCATATTTTCTTACATTTGCATAGCTAATGCACTGGCCATTACAAATAACTTTTTTTAACAATAGGTGAACTATTTGAATGTTAGCTACTCCCAGTTAAGATTAACTTGAGCTTATCATTAACAGGAAGAGGCAAGCTTTCTTTACTAAATAATATCATTGTAATCGTTAAGAAACCTACCTTGTGAATTTTAAATAGAACCTCACAGAGGTTATAGATTTTTTCAGCTCGTACCCAGTCTAGCGTGCTTACCTATAATATCAAAAAAAATATTAACAACACATTCTTTACTCTAAAATCATGTACAGATGAAAAAAATTAAAGACTTCACCCATCATTATTCTATTGGATGCTCTAAATATAAGCACGTTACTACATTTAATATCCAGCATTTAGAAAAGATTGTCAAATAGCATTCAGTTTTTACAGAAACAGCATCTACAGGAGTCTCACTATAATTAAAAGGTATTAAATAATTGATGTTTTTTTCCCATTATTATTACAATATGATGGAAACCTCTTTGTAATCTCTGTGGTGAGTTACATAAGCATATGCTAACACAATATGCTAAAACAGAGAACCCAGAGTCTCAAACACAGAGTCATTCAACTTCAAGTCTCAATTGAAAAAAATCTTACTATCAACAGACCAAAATATGCTCCTAAATTCAGGTTTGAGTTTACATACACTAGGGCACCAATATCTTAATATTTATATTAAAAACTGAAAAGGACCATGTGACTGCAATATTTGAAATGAAGAACAATCTCAACTGTGTGCTTAATAACGAATATGGAAAGACATATTTTTCATTTTCTGTTGATTTCCTTACTTTATCCTGTTGACATGACAGGCTATTAAAATTTGACAGAATGATATTTGAAGTTTTTCCCTAAATTCTAGTTCGTGACATAATGTAATAATTTGTTTTATTTTAAAAACAGTACCTAGCCTATGTAGTTCAAGAAAAAAAAAAAACAAACCTCCAGGAAAGAAAAATACAAGCAGAACACACATTATTTTGATTAGATATTTCAGAGCAAAATCCTAGCACTTGGTGAATGCACAGGAATGGCTGCATAGATATATGAAGGATTTGACTAAATTGTAACTCTGAGGCTTTTGGCACATGGAAATAAATGTTTTGGTGACTCCAATAGCAACTTGGATGCTTTAAACTACTAGGGCAGATGCAAATTTTCCCTGTTCCTGCCCCCCTCACAAAAGGAAGAGAGCAGAAAAATTAAATTAAATTATTCAGGTAAAGCAAAATTTGGTTGTTAAACATCTGGCTTCTGTGGATGAAACTTAACTAGGGAAGAACTATGAAATTCAATAACAGATTCTTTTTCACTGTATTCACAGTAGCACATAGTTCACCTATAATAATCAATCTTGTTCCTGATGTTTTGCATGAAGATCAAAATGAGTTTTTAAAATTTATTTTTAAGTTGAATTTCCAGGTCTTCATAAATTCTAAACCCTTCAGCAATATGGTAGTATAACGGTGAAAATCCAAACCACTAAAACACTTCGGAGCAGACTGATGTGAATTCTACTGGTTATTAAATGTTATTTTACGGAGTGCTGTTGGAGGAGCAATGTGAACTTGGTGTTAGTTTCTTTCTGCTCATATGTGGTCTTATGTCTACTCCAATATTATTGAGTAGAGCTCACAGCTATGTGTTTCAAAGCAGTGTTTCAGAATTTACCTGAATTCTTTCTCCTTAGTGTGGACAGCATCCCACCTACATTCAGACATCAGAAGTATCTAATCTTAACAATCTAATCTAATCCTTAACAATCTAATCTTAATTTCAAAATATTGAGAAAGAAGAAAAAAAAAAGAAAGCAGCACTTTCTCCCGGTTTCTGTAACTTAAGGTTGTATCTTTAACTTCTAGATGACTAAATTTAGATGAGATAAATCACCTATTGTAAATGTGACTGAAGGCCACTAGAAGAGAAAGTTCTATCACCACATCTTTTCAGGATATAAAGGGAGTTACGTTCTAGGGTTCTCCATTTGACAGTTTTTGTATTTTAATACTCAAAAGACACAGGTCACTTGAATACACTGCAAGCAGCAGAATATGTAAAAACATGTTATATACTTTCTGGTTTATGTTAAGCAATTTCTCACCATAAATTAAAGCTTGAAACATTACTTACAGTGACCTTGAAAAGTACTTACTACTACTTTAAAGGAACTTCGTCAAATTTAAATCTTATGTTAGCTGTATTAGAAAATCAATCTCAAGCAATTGCAGACATCCTACTTGTCCTCCCATCACTCCACAAAATGTAGCAATTTGTAGAGGCAAACATTTCTAATTTTTAGATTTCTGTTACTCCTTTCCTTCTAGTAAGGTCCATTCAATATTTTCTTTGAGTTTTGTTTTATAATTATTCCTAAGAGTGAGCAATTAAACAAGTTTAGAAACAAGCAATACTTAGGAACTATAAAGCTGATTCATAAAGAAATATACATTTAAACATGCTCACAAAAAGCAACCATCACAGGTACTTAAACCCTTATTTACAGGGAAATCTTTTTTACTTTGATGGCTGTTTTGAAAATAAAATAATTAAATAATACAGGTTTTGGCCCATTACTGTTGATCCTGAAAAGGAATCTTCATGCTTCTTGCAAAATAAGGTTTACAGCCTAGAATGGTGGCTAGCTCATTATCTGGTCTTGAATTTCTTGAAGGCAAAGATTCTTTTCAAGCTCAGTTAAAAGCAGGAGAATCCTTCATTCCTATTACAGGCTAGACAAGACATAAAAGCATAAGCATCGACTTAATCTGTTGTTTGTGAAACTGGATTTAGTGACACAGGCTATAACCTAAAGCTGTTGAGACATGACTGAACTTTCATTTGCTCATATGATTTGTTTTGATTCCTGAAGATTAATTTAAACTGTTGGAGTTCTTTGCTGCTATTAATGATGCTACCATGGACAATGGTGACATTGCTGTGTCATTAAATTCACTCTGAATACTTCAGCCTTCTCCCCATTATCCTGTGCATCTCTTTCATCCTTTGATTCTCTGTAACCTCTTACGACTTTTTCAGCAGAGGTACCTAGTGATGATGGTAACTGTTGGAACCTATATAAGCCAAGATTTTCTCTTACTGTGTATGTCAGAGAAAGGCTACCATACTTAAAGAGTGAAACGATCTGAATATCACAGTGTGCAAGGTCATCAGAATACAAATGACGTGTTGAGAGGGATTTTAAGGAGGGGAAACAAACACACTACAAAGGGATACTATAATCCAAAAAGACAGCTGACATTATTTATAGTTTTCTCAGAACTATCATACTATATCTAAGTTAAAAATATTATTGTTATAGACTGCATTACTTTAAAAAAAAATCACAAATGATCATATACTTCTAGTCAATGAGAAAAGCTGGAAAGAATCAGAAAAGTTCACAAAAAGTGCAATATCCTTCATTTGCTTTAAAGGATGTTTCAGTTTATTGTAGGCTTATCCATCATCACACAATTAATAACTAGGTAATGATAGGTAACTCAGATATATGAGATACTGAAATATATTCCTTAGGCAATAAAAAAAAATTTCTCATTACTTCCTCTTTGTAATTGTTCCCTTAGGTATACTATAGATTACAAATTCTATTTTGGGTTTATTTTAGCATGACAAGATAATTATTTTTTAGTAAAAAGTATTTGACAAAATGTTTCAAAAAAGGTATATTCAGAATGGGTCACTTAATGAGACATACTTTAATTCATATGAATTTAGTTCTGATGAAATGTCAAAAATAGTGTTAAAATACATGAAAGTACCAATTAGCATTCACTGAGCTTCTGTTTTATTACTTTTGTCTAATACATGAATTTACGAGCCATCCAGAGGGACCTTGACATCCATTATGGTTATCCAGGGGCACCTTGACAGGCCTGAGAGGTGGGCCTATGAAAATCTCATGAATTTCAACTAGGCCAAGTGCAAGGTCCTGCACATGGGTTGGGGCAATCCCAAGCACAAATACAGGCTGGGCAGAGAATGGATTGAGAGCAGCCCTGACGAGAAGGACTTGGGGGTGCTGGTTGACAAGAAGCTCAATATGACCTGGCACTGTGCACTCACAGCCCAGAAGGCTAACCTTATCCGGGGCTGCATCAAAAGCAGCATGGCCAGCAGGGTGAAGAAGAGGATTCTGCCCCTCTATTCTACTCTGGTGAGACTCCACCTGGAGTCCTGCATCCAGCTCTGGAGCCCTGCATCTAGCTCTGGAGCCCCTGGTGCAGGAAAGACATGGACATCTTGGAGTGGGTCCAGAGCTCGGCCACAAAAATGATCAGAGGGCTGGAACAGCTCTCCTGTGAGGAAAAGCTGAGAGAGTTGGGATTGTTCCACCTGGAGAAGAGAAGGCTTTGGGGAGCCCTTATTGCAGCCTTCCAGTACCTGAAAGGGGCCTACAACCGAGCTGGAGAGGGACTTTTTACAAGGGCATGTAGTGACAGGACAAGCGGTAGTGGCTTCAAGCTGAAAGAGGGTAGATTTAGATTAGATATGAGTACAAAATTCTTTACTATGAGGGTGGTGAGGCACTGGAACAGGTTGCCCTGAGGAGTTGTGGCTGCCCCCTCCCTGGAAGTGTTTCAGGCCAGGCTGGACGGGGCTTCGAGCAACCTGGTCTAGTGGAAGCTGTCCCTGTCCATGGCAGGGGGGGTTGGGACTAGGTGATCTTTAAGGTCCCTTCCAACTCAAACCATTCTATGATTCTACAATCTATCATTCTATGATTAACAGTAGCCATATGCTATTATTATTATTGGAAGACCCTTAGCCAACTCAATGTGTTATGTGATGTATTGAATAACTGGGTTTGAATATATTTGGCTATAGTGACCCTTTCAGAAAGACTGTAAAGTAACACATTTGTAAACTCACATATAACACTGAGCTGATCAGAGATAATAAAAATGAATGAAGATAGAAAAATAGGAACCTGAAGTTACAATTTTAAGCCCACAATAAGAAACTGAAATGAGTATGTAGGGTTACAAAAGTGGTAAGTGCTGCACAAGTACTTTTTATTTCCGCATGAGTTTCTGTAAGCTCCTCGTCTTTTATAAACAAGCATTACAATGGATTTCTGAAAATACATAAATTACTAAAATCTAGTTTTAATTAGACCAAGCGATCTCAGCATCAGTTCAGGCTCATATTCCAAATTTACTTAGCTTTAAATGTGTGTATTAATAATTGTGGTTTTTTTCAAAGTTATAATTTAACACAAAAAGAAAACAATAAAGTTAAATTAATTTTGACACATACATGTAGTAAACAACAAACTACAAAACAGTTACTCCCTATAAGAGAATTCTGAAAGCATAAAATAGGCATAAAAGACTTTCATGCCTATTGAGAGATCAGGACTAAAGCATTGATTAGACATGAGAAATAAATATAGGGTGCATGTAAAAGAGAATCACACTTCAAAACTCACTAAAGTCAAAGGGAACATAATATACTCTTTGAATTTCTATGAACACTGAATCTGTTTTTAGAAATCATGAGTGCTCCCCAAAATATTAAAAAAAAAAAGTAAATACATTTAAAGAGTAAAACTTAAGAAAAAAAAGTTCAAATTGGCTATAATACTTATTACTGGAATAAAGAGAATGCTGCATTATCTGACAATTAAGCAGAAGCATCCAACCCACCTAGAAGTAGTAACGTCTAGACAAAAGACGAAATACTTTTAGACCAAGAGTAACTCATTTCACTGGTCACTTCACTAGTTAATGAACAGAATGAGCCAAGTATAAGTGTAAAAGACTATTAAAAGATATTTGAAAGAAAAAGAAAAATGAAGAAAAGTTCTTGAGATGAACTATGATATAGCAGTATAAGAAGCCTAAAGACGTCCAAAACAACTCAAATTTGATGGTACAAAACACACACTAAAGAGCAGTCAAATCCCAGCAAATACGTGAACAAAATAAATAGACTTGTGTGCAGAGTCAGAAAGTTCACCAAAAGCATTCAGTCAAGTCTATGCCCTCCAACTCATTGCCACCTCTTTCCTAATACGTTACATTATGTGTAATGTAAATTACAGATGCAAGTATTTAGAACTTACACGGCAGTACTCTCTAACATTTAATTCAAAGCACTACTCGTGTATGCAAGCTTTTCTTCTCTGTAATGTTTTTCAAACTGGAACTATTTCTGTTACTTTCACATTATTATTGTATTTATCCCTTTTCTTAAAACTATAAGGAGCACATGCAGTGATTGTGTAGTTGAATTCACGTAAACCATTTCAGTGATATTTATGCAATCATACTGAAAAAGATAGTTTGTAATTAAAGTTAAGACAACACCTCCAAAGATACGGCTACTTTAAGACTTGAATTTAAAAACCATCTTGAACTATAAGGAAGATAAAAAATCAAACAGTACAGTTCTCCCCTACATGGAGCACACACTCCATAATACCAAAACATTTAATTTTTCTGGAAATTTTCAATGACATAAAATATAGTTTTGTTTTGAATGACCATTTTGAATAATGTCTCTCCAATTTCTTCTAGGATAGGAATTTGGAACCACTTTAAGATATGAAAATTGACAAAAATTTAGTAGATGCTTGTAGAAGGTAATAAAATACTGCTTGTATATTAACATTGACACAAGCATAATTTCTGTTTGTGCAGTGATGTTTTTCATGTGCAACTTTCAGAAATGTGTCATGATTCTACGACAGCAATCTGTAAATGAACTCTCTAAATTTCTTAAATACAGTCAGATAAGCCACTTTACGGATGCAGAAGGACCATTCTCTGTTAATCACAACCTTATGGCATTTACTTCTATGGTGAAGCTTCTACATTTTTGGAAACACCATCTGAGATATTGTTGAAATCGAGTATAAATAGAATATTACTTGCCATAGTAATTTCTTTCATATTATAATATCCATATTTTCCCCACAATTTTCTTTATTTTTGCCAATGGGTAACTACATTTTCCATTCTTAGGAAAATTAGCAGCTGTATTTACATACATATCGCCTTTTACACACAGAAATAGAAAAAGGGCAGAAATTGAAATAAATCCTTTAACAAGCAGTTGCAAAGTTTTGGGTAAGGTCATTACAACCAAATATAACTGTATGACGTATAGGTCATCTACTCTGTGCACACTACATTGATATACTGATACACTACATTGATTCAGTATGCAAATAGCAATACTGTCATAGAAACATCTCCGAAATAAAACATAATGTTAAATGCTTATCTTCTAAAAACCAAGCAAGTTAAAACCTGTATTTTTATAATAGAACAATCCATCTTTTAATGTTTCACTTAACACAGTAAAAAAAAGTCAATAGGATTAATGGCAGCACCATTAAACACCTCTAAAAATAGTGAAACAGCTCTAAGCATGGCTTTATGTAAATGCCTGCGTTTCCAAATACAGAGCTGGGACATGTGACACTGAACCAGCACCAGGGCACAGCATGGCTTGGTGGCTCCCTGGGTGCCATGGGGTCTGTCCGGGCAGTGTCCTCGCCAGCCTGGGTCCATCCCATCACCCAGTAGTGGGGTGACCCCATCCAACACCTAAGCACCCACACAGCCGCTTGCTCTCTCCCCATCTGCCTGCAGTAGGATGGGGGAGAGAACAGGAAGAGCAAAATCAAGAAAACTTGTGGGTCAAAATAAAGACAGTTTAATAAGTGGTGGAAAGAGGAAAAAAACAAGTGATGCAAAGGTGATTCCACCCTGCCTGCTCCAAGCAGACTGATGCCCAGCCAGCTTTCAAGCAATGGCTACTTCTGAAGACCACATGCCTGTTTTTTATTGCTGGGCATGATGTTTCATGGTACGTAATATCCCTTTTGGGCTATCTGGGCTAGCTTTCCTGGCAGTGTCCCCTCCCAACCTCTTGCCCACACCCAGGGTGAGCAGTGTGAGAAACAGAGAAACGCTGGGCAAGCAAAGCTCAGCAACAGCCAGATCACTGGTGTGTTAGCGCTGTTTTAGTCACACAGTGGGAAGCTGGAGACTGGCTCTGCTGCGCTGCTGGGGCAGGGGTTGACAGCCACAGGGGAGCTGCAATAGGGTCCTGGCTGCGGGAAGGGTCGGGGGAGGCCCAGGGAAGAAGGTCAGGGACAGTCATGGCTGGAGGTGCCCTCAGGGCACTGATAATCGTCTTCAAAGTGTGGCTTTAGATCCAGGTTTGAAATCTCTGGGTGGGTGGTTGCTGGACACTGCCAATTTCCCATTTTATTTTTTTGCTTGATATAAAACATCTGTGGAATGACTAAACAGCAAGAAAACTGGTCAACAGGTTTTATGATTTATAGGCTCTGTCACACTTACTGGCGTATCTGAGTACTGGGATGACATAACACGTTGACCAAAGGGGTTTCCTTTGTTCATTTTTTTGAAAAGCCATTGTTTCTACAAAAAATTTGTGCAGAAACACAACAGAGTGTAGCAGACACTGCTAAGTAACATGGCATGAACATTCATCCTCACTTGTCTGTTCTTAGTAGAGTCCTGAACATGATAAATGAAGTAGTTTATCCCCAATTAGGATCATGTAGATGGATAGTTTTAATTATATCAAAAATCTTTCTTCAAAAACAGGTCTGAAACAAAGCATTCATGTGGTGTTATTTATTAGTTTAATATTTTTATACTGGATTTGCATTTTAATTGGATTGTAGTAATTAAATCAGAGTTTAGTTCCTTGACTTAACATACAAACAAGTAATTATTTAGAAGGAAAAAATCTTTTCCTAGATGTGTTGTTTCATTTTAAAAAGAAGACTACCAGCCACTTAAAAATGCTGGAAGTTAATAGGAATAATCTAAGCAGAGAGAAAATGTTACTGATTGCCTCTCATTGAGGTTCATAAATAAGGTTCGAAGAGTATGTACTTCCCAAAGTCACTGCAGATGATACACATGTAAAGGATCAGATTTTCTTTGGATCAGCTGAAGAAATTGGGAGACTGATCACCTTCTGAGCAAAACCATAAGGAAGCTGTATAATTGAAACTGCATTCTAATTCCACATTTTATTCTTTTTGATTTATTTAAAGCAAAAGCTCTCCAGAGAAAAAAGAAAGGATAAAACAATACCATGTGGTAAGTCCACATCTCTTCTTCAAAGTTTAGAATTCTACAGCTCATTTCTGTTTCATTCCTTTAAATTGATTTTTACTAGGTTTTTTTTGAGAAGTATTACATAAGTCATCTGTTGTGAAATAAAAATCTCCTTACTAGCTATGTAAATTATCAAAGCAAGATGATGTCATTTGTCCAAACTGTACAACTAGCACTGGATTCTCTGTAACAGTTCAATCCCTTGCCTGTGTGCAAAATCCACAAGAATCTCCTAATAGTATGGATGGCGTATTTTATGACATATCTTGTCTTTAAGAAAACAGACTAACTACCAACTCATTACATCTACAAAATACCTTAGAATAAATAAGATAAGAAACATTGGGCCTAACCAACCAAAGAAAAATCTGAACTTAAGAACTTTAAAAAGTAAAAAACTTACTCCCTGTTAGGAATTCTTTGAACTGTCCAGGTATGATAAGATTATCAGAGGACATTGAAAGAAGTTAAATATTTAGAGCTTATTGAAATTCAGTGGCATTTATGGCTCTAACTTCTTTTCAAATTTCAGCTGACAACTTCACTTGGTAAGGTAAAACAAACAACACAGACATAACAAACAGGTTTCCATTTACAACGAAACTGTCACAAAAACATTATTTTTACCGGTGGAGTGCTGAAAATGTAGAAGGATGAACCCTTCAGTGCCAGAAATTTGAATCTGTAGAGCTGAGAGGAATCAGTTCCTTCAAGTCTCTCATTTACCCATCCCATGTGTATGACCTGTAAAAGAAAGTATTTGAAAACTAAAGCTCCACTTTTCACTGGAGCATAAGATATATCTGAATAGGTCAAGTCTTTCCACAAGGAAGAGTGGTCATGTTAGAACAGGATGCATCATCTCTTTCTTCATGTTTGCCTTCCCACCACTACCATACTCTTGAAGTGTACAGTATTGTGCCAGTGTGCCAGAAGTCCTTGAAGAGACTTAAACTTACAGTACAGGTTGAATCTTGCCTGAAATAATCATCATTTTAAAAGCCACCTACACATGTCTCAGCAGACTCTCATCTAAGCCAGCAGAAAACCTAGGTGTACTCAAATAGCTCAGCCAGCAGTTTATAAAAAACATGATCCTACATTATCTATAGCAAAGTCAAGACTTGGACATACTGAAATTTGTTAGATGTAGCTCTAAAGAAACACATCTGAACAAAACACTAGATTTATCTGAAATCAAACAGCTTTCTGTATGCTGATGTTTGCCACTGTTAACAAAATGTCTTTGTTACACTGATTGTCCTTCAGAGCTTATATACTTTTTTAATATACACTTTATCTTATGACAGTGATTTATGTTCTCATAGAAATAAATGTCAAATTCAGTTGTTACACAACTTTGCTCTAATAGTATTACAATACATCTATTTATATTTCAGATAAATTAATTTTGAGAAAAAATAAAATTAAGTAAGACTGCATGCTTCCTTTTTAAGGTAAATGCAAATGTATAAAAAAATAATGCCATAGTGTGGTAGTGAAATGTCATGAATGTAGTTACCCACCAAACATAACAAATGTAAACATTTTAGGCTTCATTTTACCTACATTAAGAGGAACATATCACCCTTGAAACAGGTACTTGAATCTAGACAGATTCACCAATCTGAATATACACCTATTGCTGATAAGGTTGCTCATTTTCTGTTAAGGCTGCACTTAAAATTGGGTTACAGAGGGGTAGAAATGTCACAGCACTTGTGACTACACTGAGCCCACAGAGCTTTGCTGGAAGTCAGTGGAAACAGCCTGAAGAAGGCATTCATTAAATTGCACGAAAAGTTCAGCATTTGTTCTATGGATAGATTCAGGAGAAATGTGATGATTTAGGAACACTTTTCTATTGAAAGCCCAGCATGCTTACCTGTAGTTATTACCAACAGAGCACACGGGTGGAAAGAGCAGACAGGGAGTAGTAGCTAATAGTATAGTTGCATGCTCATACTCTTGTATCACGAAAATCTCACACATTGTTTTCTAATTTTGTTATTTAATGTATAAATTGGGTCTCTTAACAATTAACTTATGCAGAAATAAATAATAAATCAATATGTTGAGCCAGACAATCCTTCTCTATTCACCGAGCTTCAGCATATAGATTTTAAGGAGATCTAAGAAACTGCACAATAAATACAGTAGCCTTTCTAATTCTCACTTTGCTATTGTGTAAATTTAATAATTCTCACCAAAACATTGATTCTATAGTAGGCAGCAAAGGTTTAGAAACAGGATGTTCAGACCCTTCGTTACTTTAACAAACTATACTACAGGATTGTTGATAATCTACTAACAACTATATTATATATTGAATTTATCAGTGAGGTAATATAATACCAAATAATACAGATAAAAAGAATATTGTCCAAACCACATCCAGGGGACAAACAATACAATATTCTCTTCACATTTTTAAAGTCTGCTGACTTGCAAACAGACATCATTTATTAACCTGTAACACTATTAAAATCTATACTAAAAAAGCAATTTATTGATTCAATTGATAAATTGATAAGTAAAGGATATGGTTCTCTATTATGTTTTTCACTCATCATCATTATCATCACCATTTATTCTTACAGCAGCACTCACCAAATAATTTTGGAATTATCCACAATGTCAAATGGCAAAACTAAGTCACAGACAAAGTCTGCAGCTTGCCTAGGTCATTTATCAAACACCATATATTAAAGCAAACGTGACACATTCCAAGAAATATAACTACATTTCTTGTTGCAGACCAAAGATGTTCATTTAATATATTAAAAGAAGGAAAACATGAAGTTCTTAGTTGAAACTCAGGGCAGGATGGTATCAGAAGACTGGAATTGTACTTGTCAAGATTGTGTTCTCACCTCAAAATACACATGTGATTTCCTGTGATTGACAGAATACACCTCATTTATCTAGTTGACAGAAACCACAAGTTGCCCTGTAAGCACTGGTCCTAAGTACCAACAGTAGTGCAAAAGACAACCAAACTTTCTTTGAACAAAATTCTGAATTTAGAAAAAGGGCACTGAATTTCTCTAACCAAAATAAAACGAGATTTGTTTTTCAGTCAAAATGTGCTTCACGTCAAATTTTTCCATCTGTGACATGGGAATAATTTCCTTCGCTTACTTCGTGGAATTCATGTGAAGGCCCTGTCACTGTTCTGTTCTTACTTATGGCTCTAAGATGCGATAGGAGCGCCAGATGTTACAGCCTCAATTTAATGTAGCAATTAAACTTCTGGATAATTCTCTCAAGTACATATTTAGATACAAACCAAAGACTGCATTTTCTAATTAGCAGCAGACATATATTTTGGGCACATGTTCTAAGTGTTTTACTGAAATGGAACTGTATTATTATTTTTATTGCACTCACACCATACCGGGACCAGTCTACCTGTGGTAGATCAGAATCAAGAGACGTGGTTTGAAGTATACCCTTCTCCACACGACAAACAGATTTTTATAATTATTAGCAGCTATAAACTCAATGTTAAGCTGTTCCGTATGCTTAAATCTCTTTCAACCTCAGAAAAAAAAAAAGAATGATACAAAACCACATTCACTGGACTAGATTTTGGGAGAATGGTCTTTCTAATCACTGAATTTTTACAACATTGTAATATCACTCTTAATCTATATGGATTGTGATAAGGTCACCTATTCATCCCACTTCATCAAAGTCTACACAAAACTGAACAGCAACACTTCAGTTACATTTTGAACACATTGCACTGAATATTACTCTGCTTGATTGAAATGACTAACAAAACCTCCAACTCCAGGAAAAAATAACTTCCATCAGAAAAAAAAACAAATGATAGATTATCAAGGCAAAGAGAAAGTCTTAGAACCATTAAAAAATATAAAGAGATCCTTTTTGTTTCTCAATTTGATTACAATTCCCAAGAGATACCAGAAACTGATTAAAAGTTTTTCAATTTTCATTTTCTTTAAAACCATTACTTAGCTTTGCATTGTCAACATAATTTGTGGAGCAAGGAAACAATTATATACCTCACAGCAGAAATAACAAAAAAGGGTCTGTTGATTTATATCTTACAAAAGAAATTAAAAACTTATCTGGAAAAACTAGTTGGTATATAACAGTTCAAAGTCATTGAAATAAAAATAGTAAAAACCTTTCCAAAAGTCTTTTAAATCCCAAGATTATAGTTTGTGTATTAGCATCATGAAACACTTACCTAAGTATTAAAGGTGCTAGTAAATAAAAAGTTGCAGCTATTCCTGAACTTTCTAAAAGACATCTAACAAAATGAATGCGTGCATCAACTCCTTCCATTTTTTTTTTTAATGAAGATGTGAAAAAATTCAACAAGTAGCACATTTGTAGATAAATTTAAAATTTGGAGAAGAGTATCCCTGCAGAGTACTGGCTGAAGTCTCACTACATATATGTATTTAGGAAGAGAAATATAGCAAGGCTAGAAGACACACGAGCTTTTTGTTTGTTCATTTGTTTTAGAATTTTTGTACATTTAGGAAAAAAGCAAAGGTTGAGTCGACTTAAATATGGATTGCCAAATATGAAAGGCTGAATGAGATACTTTTTTGGGGAAGAAGAAACAGTCAGATTAGGTAGCTAAAGAAGGATTGCTACTGGAAATTAAATGGTGAGCTCAGTGGGTTTAGAGCTGCATTACTGTCATTTTCATGATGCCCAGCACCCAACTATGGGAATCTCAGTATCGGTTTTGTATATTTTACATTATTTCTCTTATTATTAGTATTATTCATGTTATTAGTATAGTTGTATTTATATTCAATTTGTAAGTCTCTCTCCCTTTTCCTCCTTTTCCTTTCCTCTGGTGGGAGAGGGTGGGTTGATAGAGAGCGTCTGCCGCTCAGTTTATTGACGTCCTGCTTTAAACTGTGACAGACGGCAAGCTAAAAAATAAGTACTAAAGATTATGAAAGAGAAAGAGGAAAAGACAAAGCAAAAGACATTTAGGAGGAGAAAGAAATCAATTTAGCAAGTCCAAAAATAAAGAAATAGGAGAAAATATTAAATTAAAAAGAAGAAAACAACATAAGGACAGACACTATACAAGTACATAAAGAGGGGAAAATCAATGAAAAAAATATTTGGGAGGAAAAAACATACAGAAAAGAGGATTCCAAATGTAGGCTTGCCTATAAAGACACAAGGTCCTTAAAAAATTAACGAGGAAAATAGAAGAATTTCCTTTATCAGAATCAGTGCTTGATTAATTTCTGCATATATTGAAAAAATACTAAAAAATATGCATCTTTTTACAGAGATTATTAGAAAATCCAACATATTTTACTTTCTTTCCACACATCTTTCTTAGTGACTGGTTTATTTAATGGTCATTTAGACCATAGAAATGGAGAAAGAGTAATTATTCACTTCAACAGAAGTCTGCGTGGAACAAAAAGCAACCAAGTGTTGCTACTTAATAACAAGCTGTTTGTGGTTCATAAGTAGGCTACTGAGGTTTTAATTTGGTTTCAGTATGTCGGTGGCAATATAAGTCCTGGGATAAAAACCGTTCTGTTATTTGGATTGAAACCTGCCATTTGAAATTTTAAGGAGTGCTTGTAGGGCATTGCACTACAAACAGTCCCATTCTCAGCACTGCTTTCACCACTTTATTCCCATACTGCATAATCAATTTGACACTGCTATTTGAAACTGCGTGGAAAATTACCCATACATCATCAATGTATTATTAAGTTTCTAACATG